TGTTTTATGAATTTTCTTTTTCCATATTCGGCACGAGATTGGATAGATGTTCGCGGATCGTCAATCCAAACGATTCTTGTCGTTTCCAATTTCGTAGCAAGAAGAAAAGCAAAACGAACCCGGTTTTTAAAAAATTGCAAATCATATTGAAAAGCTTTTTGGCTGTATTACTATTTTAAAAAAGCATAAGTTACTTAATTACCACTAATAAACCAAGCTTACTATACTCATATAGTATTTAATTAACTCTTTCCGAAATGCATTTCGTCATTACGGGTCTTATCAAAATGACAGTATCTATGGCTAACATTTCACGGGCGAAAACGGCCGACTTCCCCGTAAAAATAAAGCCCGCGTAGGACGAAAAAAAAGATACGAACACGGCCGAATTCCCCGTAAAAATAAAGTCTTCGTAAGGCAAAGAAAGAAGATACGAAGACGGCCGACTTTCCCGTGAAATTAAAGCCCGCGTAGAACGAAGAAAGAAGATACGAACACAAGCGAAGACGGCCGACTTTTCCGTGAAGATAAAGCCCGCGTAGGGCGAAGAAAGAAGATACGAACACGGTTGACTTTCTCGTTAAAATAAAGCTCGCGTAGGACGAAAAAAAAGATACGAACACGGCCGAATTCCCCGTGAAAATAAAGTCTTCGTAAGGCAAAGAAAGAAGATACGAAGACGGGCGAAGACGGCCGACTTTTCCGTGAAGATAAAGCCCGCGTAGGGCGAAGAAAGAAGATACGAACACGGCCGACTTTCTCGTTAAAATAAAGCCCGCGTAGGGCGAAGAAAAAAAATATCGTAAATTATTAGAATTATATGTCGGTAAGTATACAATACTAATAGGAGTGCAAGAAAAGAACCATGGAAATAATCTTTTCGGCTGTCTACCCACACCTTAACATAATTTCGTTTTCTAAATTTTTGTTTTCATTGGGATTGTGTCGAAACCTTTAGCATGAATTTTTCTTGCAAATCTGCAAATAAAAATATGACGGGATTAGATAATTAGGCGTTACAGTCTCGAATTTCTCACGCCCGACTCGCCCGTTATTTTTATTCGCATTGTGAATTGTTAGTTTCGGTAAATTACCATCGACTTGCTAATGCGAGTACAACGCTGTACTGCGCAATTACGAAATCAGATATGACTGGAAGACGCAATTTAAATCGGGCAGTCATCGGCGAAAGTGAAGAGCGATGTGCAGTAAAGTGAGATTTACAGGAAAGGTTCAGAGTTGTGTGAAAAGGCATATAATACGACGCCACCGTCGTTGTTCTCAACGGGCCAGTGGATAGAGCTCTATGATTATAATCCACTTGACGCTTGCAAAGTATCGAATGGCCAATGGAATGAAACGCACGAATAGGCGCGATAAGACAGTCAGTAACAGGCAACGGCCATACCACGCTGAAAGTACCGGTTCTCGTCCGATCACCGAAGAAAGACACGTAACAAAGAAAGTCGACAATTGCAATTTCATTGTTGTGCTTTTTTTGTTGCGAAGAGTGCGATTCTTGCAAAGTCTTCGAATGCAATGTTTTTCTTGATTTTGGCAATAGAGAACAACTGAACATTTGTTTCAGTCTAATAACGGAAACTTTCTAAAGTTGGTAGAATTGCTTTCTGAGTTTGATCCAGTTATTGAAGAACATATCAGGAGAGTTCAACGCGAGTCTGATAAATAGTCTGACTTATCTAAGCAATAATATATAAGATGACTTCATAAATTTGATGGAAAATGTAATTTTAAGCAAAATTGTCGAAATAATAAAAATCGCTAAATATTTTTCGATAATCGCCGATTGTACCCTAGATGTAAATGATATTGAACAGCTCTCGTTAATAGGAGTTGTCGGTTTTAACTCCATCCAAAATAAATATGAAATGGAAGAATTCTTTATTAGTGTTTTGAAGCTTGTGATTCAACTGGAGAGGGTTTGACAGAACTTATTCTGACACATTTGGAAAAGTTAGGTTTTGAGTTAAAGTGGCTTAGAGGACAAGGCTATGACAACGGAGCTAATATGAAAGGAGTAAGAAAGGGTGTACAAAATAAAATACTTGAAAAATATCCAAGGGCGTTTTATGTGCCCTGCACATGTCATTGTTTAAACCTAGTTGTGAATGATGCAGCGTCTTCTTCTACAGTGTTTTCTATTGTACAATAACTTTACACTTTTTTTTCTGGTTCTACAAAGCGTTGGGAAATGCTAAAAAAATGTATTTCACAATTAACTCTAAAACCATTGAGTGTTACTAGGTGATCAAGCAGAATAGATGCATTAAAACCTTTATGGTTTCAACTTTGCGAAATCTATGATGCATTATTCTAAGTAATAGAAGACGTCAACAGAGATGCAGAAACTAAAGTTAAAGCAAGACAGTTAGCAAAAAATATTAAAAATTATAAGTTTATATGCGGTGTAATTCTTTTATTTGAAATAAATTCAGTTTCAAAGCTATTGCAATCTGTAACTATAAATTTGTCAGATTGTGTAAGGATGTTATCAGAAACCATACAAAAAGTGAAAAGTTATAGAAAATCTGGATATGATCAGATGAAAATTGCTGCTAAAAAGATTGCAGTACAGAATTTCCTGCCGAAACTGAAGTTAGAGCCAGAAGGAAAAACATCAGTTTGACAATGAAGAAGATGTCGATGAACCCTTAACAGAAGAGAGTAAATTTAAAATAAAGTTTTTCAATTATATTCTGGACATTACCCTTAATACTCAGAATGAACTATTCACGCTTCTGGAAACCCATAGCAAAAATGTTGAGCTTTTATATGAGATTTTAAAACTCAAGGATTTAGATGAAAAAACACTAGAAAATTATTGTACCAGTCTCCAGTCAATAGTTTCATACTTTGTTAAGTCATACTGCGATTCATACCACGAAAGACAATATAACGCAATAAATGAAGATACTGTATCATTGTAACAATCCAACTGAGGATAAAAAGAAATGTAAAATCCTTAAAGGTACTAGTAATGTGTTTATGTTGTGTTACTTAACATCTAAATACTTTGTTGATTTTTAATCTGTATATATATTTTGTCAACTTAATATCTATAATTGTAATTTATAGAACACTGAAGAGGAACTGGAAACATGAAACCAGTTCGAAATGCATATGTAAAAATATAATAAAAGAATTCATTAACCTGATGCCGTAAGATAGTCTACCGAAAGAATAAGTCGGATTAAGGAGACAACCATTCACAAACGAATATACAGCTATAACCAGTAAATTCAATAGTTTCAGTTGAAAATGAATCAGATATAAATGCAAATGATCTTCAAGAAGAATATATGACAATTATGTGAAATATCCGGAATGCTATAATATTCTATGAAACCTTTAGATGTTTTAAATAATTTGTGCCAAAATAACTTAATTACTTTGTATCCGACTACTACTGTTGTAGCTCTGAGAATTTTATTAACACTCCCTGTCTCTGTAGCTAGTGGGAAGTTTTTCCAAATTAAAATTAATAAAACACTTCTTAAGAAGTTCAATAAACCAAACAAAACTTAAAAATCTATCATTAATTTCTATTGAATCTACATTGGCTGCAATTCTAAATTACACATCCCTAATTAACGAATTTGCTAAAGTTAAAGTTAGAAGAATAAAACTGTAGTAGACTGTTGTAGTTGATATCAATATTTTATAGTAGTTTATATTTTCAAAATAAAATTATTATTCGTACATTCTGTGCAGTTTAAAAAAAAATCACAATCGAAGGTTATTTTAAAGAAAAACATTTAAGGGGCTGCATTTTGAAGACTTGCATCATACTGAGAAAATCTATCTCATGGCCCTGAGTAAAACTCATCGTAAAAAAATAAAGTAAATCTTCTCACCCTACTATCAAGTTTTATACACTTGATAGTAGGGTGAGAAGATTTACTTTATTTTTTTAATGTTAAGGCTCAGAACCTAAAATGAAAGGATGACGTCTGGTCATTTTTAAAGATGTAAATGTTTACCTATTGTTATTTGTTTTTTATGAAGTGATTTCTTCAATACCAATGTAAAAGGTGTACTTCTATGATGCATGAAAAGTATTAATTGATAGACTCAAAAATGTAATATTTTTTGTAAATAGTCTAAACTTCTAATTTATAATTGGAAAAATATCCTGAGTTCATCATAAAAATTTTAATATAATCTCTTTCTAAACTACAATAAATTGATTTCGTATTTATTATTGGAAATAAGAATTGACCCTCAAAACTTTTTCTGATTCAATTAATAAATGACAACAGAATTTTAATATTCAATATATCACTGTTCATTTACTGTAGAATATTAACTGTAAAAAAAAAAAAACAAAAACAAAACAACTAGAAGCACTCAATTTATTGAGAAGTTTGTAGAAGAAAACTGTAAATTATTATTTTGTTGTTTGAATCTTTTCTTCTTCCAATGTTTCCACCTTTAATGATGTGTAAAATATGCATTAGATTTAAATGTGAATCAAAATAATGTCATTTAGATGAATGGAAAGCATTTTTAGCTGGCTGTGTTTTTGTTCATTCTTCGATTTCTTCCTTTTAATACATATTAAATTTCATTCAGGTAGTATTAAATATGGTATATATTACAAACTGTACTGTACAATAACTTAAAAACGTTGATATGAAGGTAAAATAGGATTTACTCCAGAGACAAGCTCATTTTTAAATTTATGCTAAATACATCAATTAATCATATATAAATAAATTATTTTCTAATTTAATTGTTATTTCTATATACAAGTAGGTTAAGTTTTGTCTTACTCCAGATTTCATTCTCCCTTTGATATCATTTGATCTAATAATACCAAATTATCAATGATAATGCAATAATAATCACAGAAAATTTCATTTATTTATCTGATACAGTTTGAAAAGTCTTGACTATAGAAAGGGAATTTCTGTTTTTGCTTTGTCTAAGAAAATATTGGAGATGAAATTTTTATAAAGTAAGTTTAAATAATATAAAAATAATTAGTTTTACAATTTTATTTAGTTTAAAATGAATTATTTTACAAAATACTACGAAATGAATGAATCTCACAAGACTTAACACATGTGAAAATACTACAATGTACATAAATGCTCAGAATATCAATAATTCTCTTAAAAGTCCCCACCCTTTCCAAAATTTCCACCTCCACTGTAACTACTTTGATAATTACCTCCTCCAAATCCACCTCTATTAGAAAAACCACCACCCCTTCCTCCACCAGCACCTCTGTTAAAACCACCCTGAAAACCTCTGTCTCCATCAGATCCATAACCTCCATATCCTCCTCCTCCTCCTCCCCCACCGCCACCTCCGTACCCTCCACTTCCATATCCACTTCCTCCACCTCCGCCTCTAGATCCATAGCCACCTCCAAATCCCCTATCACTGTTGCCACCACTAAATCCTCTGTCATTTCCACCTCCAAATCCTCGGTCATTTCCACCTCCACCAAAACCGCCTCCATTTCCACCGCCAAAACCTCCTCCATTTCCACCACCAAATCCTCTGTCATTTCCACCTCCACTGAATCCTCTATCATTGCCACCAAAATTTGAACGGTAATTTCCACCACCACCCATACTACTCCACCCTCGATAACCACTACTTCTATTAAATCCTCTAGAGTTATTTCCACTTCCAAATCTTTTGTTGTATCCACCACCACCACCACCACCTTGAAATTTGTTTCCTCCACCAGAAGAAAAATTTTGATTTCCTCCAAAATTATTGCGAAAACCTCCTCCATAGCCTCCTCCTCCTCCTCTTCCTCTTCCAGTATTGAAACTGCCTCCACCTCTTGTGGAACTCAATCGAGGTTGTTTTCTTGGAGGTCCTGAGGGCATGGGCCTAAAAAAACACAATAATAATTTTTTAATATTGAAACTTGTATATGAATGTAAAAATTTCAATAACTGAAATTACTTTGTATCAGGTTGTGAATGTGGAATTTAGACATTTCAATTTTTTTCTAGAAATGACTGCAAAAAATGTTCTGGAAGATTTGATGTGGTTATCTAAGTAGTATCACTAAATGAAATATGTGACAAATATTCTAAAATTGAAAGAAATTAATTAATTAATTTATAATTATTAAAGTTAACAAGAGCTGGCAAAATAAACACCTTCCTCCTGTCAAATTAATTAGTCTTACCACTTCAATAAAGAAATCTAGCTTTTCATTTGATATTATAATAGTAGATTAAGCTTATGCAGATTAATAGTTAACTTAGCATAAAATAAAATAAATTCAACATTTTCTAAAATTGTAGAATTTTGCAACTAATAAATAATAAAGGGGTATGAAAGATTAAAATAAAGAATGTAATACTTCATATAAAGAAACATGGTATGAAGTCTAAATCTAATATATAAGTTTACAAATTGACAGTTTTCAAAACTATTTTCATATTTTAAAAGATTAAATCAAGAAAAAGAATTCAAATAGCTAAAATAAATTAAGGATCATAAAAAAAAAAAAAAGAAAATTAACAATGATATTTAGAGAGAACAGAGAACAGATAAAAGTTGTCTTGGTAGATAATTATTTTCTTAAATCATTTTAAATGAATAAAATATTGATATAATTTCTAATACAGCTTAAAAATAATAGAAATAAGCAATATGGTTTAAAACTCTTCCATTCAGAATATATCATAAAATACAAATGAAATTGACATAACACATAAAAGAATAAAACTTATATAATTAATATAAGAAATAAGATTTATTGTAAAAATATATTTCAAAGATATATAGATTCCTACTATTAACAAATTTTTGACAACCAAACATTTTAAAATAATAATCAGAATTTGTTATAAAGAATTAGTTTTTCTTTATTTTAATCTATACTCAAATTGTTTCTACTATTTATTGATCACAAAATCTTATAAATTTAATATGAACAATATCTATAAATAATACTGAATTCAAAATATGACTTCACAACCATCTGAATAGGTAATGTTTTTTTAAATGTAAGAGGAATTGAATAAATTTTTACTGTAATTAACACTTATTTATCATTCAAAAATAATTTTCTGAAATTTGTTAAAATTAATAAAAATTTTAGGATAATATTAATTAAACATGATGGTTAGATAGTTAATACAGTTAATTTTGATTTAATAATCATAATTAAAATTGGATTTAATAAATAATGAACATATCTATTCATTAAGTTCATTCATATATTCATATATATTTCAGTTTTTTAGGATTTATACAATCCTAAAAAAACTGAAATATNTTTTTTTTTTTTTTTTTTTTTTTTTTTTTTTTTTTTTTTTTTTTTTTTTTTTTTTTTTTTTTTTTTTTTTTTTTTTTTTTTTTTTTTTTTTTTTTTTTTTTTTTTTTTTTTTTTTTTTTTTTTTTTTTTTTTTTTTTTTTTTTTTTTTTTTTTTTTTTTTTTTTTTTTTTTTTTTTTTTTTTTTTTTTTTTTTTTTTTTTTTTTTTTTTTTTTTTTTTTTTTTTTTTTTTTTTTTTTTTTTTTTTTTTTTTTTTTTTTTTTTTTTTTTTTTTTTTTTTTTTTTTTTTTTTTTTTTTTTTTTTTTTTTTTTTTTTTTTTTTTTTTTTTTTTTTTTTTTTTTTTTTTTTTTTTTTTTTTTTTTTTTTTTTTTTTTTTTTTTTTTTTTTTTTTTTTTTTTTTTTTTTTTTTTTTTTTTTTTTTTTTTTTTTTTTTTTTTTTTTTTTTTTTTTTTTTTTTTTTTTTTTTTTTTTTTTTTTTTTTTTTTTTTTTTTTTTTTTTTTTTTTTTTTTTTTTTTTTTTTTTTTTTTTTTTTTTTTTTTTTTTTTTTTTTTTTTTTTTTTTTTTTTTTTTTTTTTTTTTTTTTTTTTTTTTTTTTTTTTTTTTTTTTTTTTTTTTTTTTTTTTTTTTTTTTTTTTTTTTTTTTTTTTTTTTTTTTTTTTTTTTTTTTTTTTTTTTTTTTTTTTTTTTTTTTTTTTTTTTTTTTTTTTTTTTTTTTTTTTTTTTTTTTTTTTTTTTTTTTTTTTTTTTTTTTTTTTTTTTTTTTTTTTTTTTTTTTTTTTTTTTTTTTTTTTTTTTTTTTTTTTTTTTTTTTTTTTTTTTTTTTTTTTTTTTTTTTTTTTTTTTTTTTTTTTTTTTTTTTTTTTTTTTTTTTTTTTTTTTTTTTTTTTTTTTTTTTTTTTTTTTTTTTTTTTTTTTTTTTTTTTTTTTTTTTTTTTTTTTTTTTTTTTTTTTTTTTTTTTTTTTTTTTTTTTTTTTTTTTTTTTTTTTTTTTTTTTTTTTTTTTTTTTTTTTTTTTTTTTTTTTTTTTTTTTTTTTTTTTTTTTTTTTTTTTTTTTTTTTTTTTTTTTTTTTTTTTTTTTTTTTTTTTTTTTTTTTTTTTTTTTTTTTTTTTTTTTTTTTTTTTTTTTTTTTTTTTTTTTTTTTTTTTTTTTTTTTTTTTTTTTTTTTTTTTTTTTTTTTTTTTTTTTTTTTTTTTTTTTTTTTTTTTTTTTTTTTTTTTTTTTTTTTTTTTTTTTTTTTTTTTTTTTTTTTTTTTTTTTTTTTTTTTTTTTTTTTTTTTTTTTTTTTTTTTTTTTTTTTTTTTTTTTTTTTTTTTTTTTTTTTTTTTTTTTTTTTTTTTTTTTTTTTTTTTTTTTTTTTTTTTTTTTTTTTTTTTTTTTTTTTTTTTTTTTTTTTTTTTTTTTTTTTTTTTTTTTTTTTTTTTTTTTTTTTTTTTTTTTTTTTTTTTTTTTTTTTTTTTTTTTTTTTTTTTTTTTTTTTTTTTTTTTTTTTTTTTTTTTTTTTTTTTTTTTTTTTTTTTTTTTTTTTTTTTTTTTTTTTTTTTTTTTTTTTTTTTTTTTTTTTTTTTTTTTTTTTTTTTTTTTTTTTTTTTTTTTTTTTTTTTTTTTTTTTTTTTTTTTTTTTTTTTTTTTTTTTTTTTTTTTTTTTTTTTTTTTTTTTTTTTTTTTTTTTTTTTTTTTTTTTTTTTTTTTTTTTTTTTTTTTTTTTTTTTTTTTTTTTTTTTTTTTTTTTTTTTTTTTTTTTTTTTTTTTTTTTTTTTTTTTTTTTTTTTTTTTTTTTTTTTTTTTTTTTTTTTTTTTTTTTTTTTTTTTTTTTTTTTTTTTTTTTTTTTTTTTTTTTTTTTTTTTTTTTTTTTTTTTTTTTTTTTTTTTTTTTTTTTTTTTTTTTTTTTTTTTTTTTTTTTTTTTTTTTTTTTTTTTTTTTTTTTTTTTTTTTTTTTTTTTTTTTTTTTTTTTTTTTTTTTTTTTTTTTTTTTTTTTTTTTTTTTTTTTTTTTTTTTTTTTTTTTTTTTTTTTTTTTTTTTTTTTTTTTTTTTTTTTTTTTTTTTTTTTTTTTTTTTTTTTTTTTTTTTTTTTTTTTTTTTTTTTTTTTTTTTTTTTTTTTTTTTTTTTTTTTTTTTTTTTTTTTTTTTTTTTTTTTTTTTTTTTTTTTTTTTTTTTTTTTTTTTTTTTTTTTTTTTTTTTTTTTTTTTTTTTTTTTTTTTTTTTTTTTTTTTTTTTTTTTTTTTTTTTTTTTTTTTTTTTTTTTTTTTTTTTTTTTTTTTTTTTTTTTTTTTTTTTTTTTTTTTTTTTTTTTTTTTTTTTTTTTTTTTTTTTTTTTTTTTTTTTTTTTTTTTTTTTTTTTTTTTTTTTTTTTTTTTTTTTTTTTTTTTTTTTTTTTTTTTTTTTTTTTTTTTTTTTTTTTTTTTTTTTTTTTTTTTTTTTTTTTTTTTTTTTTTTTTTTTTTTTTTTTTTTTTTTTTTTTTTTTTTTTTTTTTTTTTTTTTTTTTTTTTTTTTTTTTTTTTTTTTTTTTTTTTTTTTTTTTTTTTTTTTTTTTTTTTTTTTTTTTTTTTTTTTTTTTTTTTTTTTTTTTTTTTTTTTTTTTTTTTTTTTTTTTTTTTTTTTTTTTTTTTTTTTTTTTTTTTTTTTTTTTTTTTTTTTTTTTTTTTTTTTTTTTTTTTTTTTTTTTTTTTTTTTTTTTTTTTTTTTTTTTTTTTTTTTTTTTTTTTTTTTTTTTTTTTTTTTTTTTTTTTTTTTTTTTTTTTTTTTTTTTTTTTTTTTTTTTTTTTTTTTTTTTTTTTTTTTTTTTTTTTTTTTTTTTTTTTTTTTTTTTTTTTTTTTTTTTTTTTTTTTTTTTTTTTTTTTTTTTTTTTTTTTTTTTTTTTTTTTTTTTTTTTTTTTTTTTTTTTTTTTTTTTTTTTTTTTTTTTTTTTTTTTTTTTTTTTTTTTTTTTTTTTTTTTTTTTTTTTTTTTTTTTTTTTTTTTTTTTTTTTTTTTTTTTTTTTTTTTTTTTTTTTTTTTTTTTTTTTTTTTTTTTTTTTTTTTTTTTTTTTTTTTTTTTTTTTTTTTTTTTTTTTTTTTTTTTTTTTTTTTTTTTTTTTTTTTTTTTTTTTTTTTTTTTTTTTTTTTTTTTTTTTTTTTTTTTTTTTTTTTTTTTTTTTTTTTTTTTTTTTTTTTTTTTTTTTTTTTTTTTTTTTTTTTTTTTTTTTTTTTTTTTTTTTTTTTTTTTTTTTTTTTTTTTTTTTTTTTTTTTTTTTTTTTTTTTTTTTTTTTTTTTTTTTTTTTTTTTTTTTTTTTTTTTTTTTTTTTTTTTTTTTTTTTTTTTTTTTTTTTTTTTTTTTTTTTTTTTTTTTTTTTTTTTTTTTTTTTTTTTTTTTTTTTTTTTTTTTTTTTTTTTTTTTTTTTTTTTTTTTTTTTTTTTTTTTTTTTTTTTTTTTTTTTTTTTTTTTTTTTTTTTTTTTTTTTTTTTTTTTTTTTTTTTTTTTTTTTTTTTTTTTTTTTTTTTTTTTTTTTTTTTTTTTTTTTTTTTTTTTTTTTTTTTTTTTTTTTTTTTTTTTTTTTTTTTTTTTTTTTTTTTTTTTTTTTTTTTTTTTTTTTTTTTTTTTTTTTTTTTTTTTTT